CCGCCCTCGAGCCGGCCGCCTCACCCGGCCCCTTACCCGCCAGGGCGCCCCGCCGCTCCGCCCGGCCGCGCCGCGTTCGAGCCCGGAACGCGGAGACAAGGGCCGGCGCCGATTGGCGACGCTCCGTCACGTGACCGCAACGCTCCGCCGGCGCCAATTTCAAACAGCGGAACAAACTGAAAGCTCCGGTGCCCGACCCCACCCCCGGCCCCCGGCCCGGGACCCCTCCCCTCCCGGGATCCCCCGGGGTTCCCCACCCCGCCCACACCGCCGGGGACCCGGCGGGCCCGGCGCGAGTCTTGTCCGGGGCCCCGGCTCGGCCCCAGGTTGGAGGAGCCCGGACCCACCCTAGGAGCCATAGCCCAGCGGCGGCGGCTGCAGTCGGGAGGTGAGCCGGCGCGGAGGCACGGAGTCGAGGCCGGGCCTTGGCAGAGGCAGGGAGCAAGGTCTCGGGCGCCGAGGTCAGGGGGTCTAGCAGCAGGGCGCGGGGCAGGAGTGGAGGTCTTGGGGCCACACGGGAAGGAGGTTCTGAGCGAGGGTGCAAATTTTTTCTGCATCTAGCCTCCCAGCCTTGTCCTCACTTCTTTACCAAAGCACCCCTTGGCGTTCCCTGGAAGTTTGACCTCTGCACCCTGCCCGCAGCCTCGGGAGGGCTGGGTTGGCAGGCTGTGGCTAGGTTGAAGATTGAGCTTATTCTGCATTAAATCAAAGACAAACCTGCCCACACACTCCCCTGCTCCCAGGTGCTCTCACCACTATGCAACACTGCCTCCGCTCCACCCTTTTACAGGGCCCTTCTCCTGGTTCTTGAGAATCCTGCAAAGTTTCCCTGGTCAGGATGGGGGTGGGGTCAGAGGAGTCACTCTGGAAGTCTCCTGGGCTAGATAAAGTGTTGGCAATGATAGGAAAGAGGCTGCGCGGAGAGTGGAGGGGAAAATGAAGCCGTGGACCAGGAAGATATCTTTTGGGGGTGGGGAGGGAATAATAGTGTCTACTGATTGATGGAGGAAGGGAGGGAGGCCTGAAGAGATATGAAGTGCAAATAAAACTGAGATTTGAAGGTAGAGGAAACCTAGATGTAAAGGAAAGGGAGGAGGCAGAGTGGGGAGGGCCTGTGAACTCTAAGCAGATGGCAAGTGCCATATGAGTGTGACAGTCATTTTTGCGGAGATGGCAGATGTCCTAAAAAAGAGACAGCTCATTCCTCTGTCAAAGTACCTCTAAATGGGATTACACAATTTTACATAGTGGTAGAGTATTCCATGTACCTATTAAAATCAATAAAGCACAATTTTTTTAAAGCTAAAACTATTTTCCTGAACATTACAAAACCGCATTAATAGCATATTGGTGATAGCACATTCTACTAGTCAGGAGATAGGGATTATAGTCTTGGCTCTGGAAGAGAAATTAAGTACTACAGTAACTAACGTACTTAGAAAGTTAAAATATGAATAAGGACAGGCAAGTACTAAAATGTCACTATATAAGTATTTTGCAAATTGTGAAAGAAAAATGTACTTTTTTTGAATCAATGCAAGGATAATAGCAAAATGTGAAATGAATGGCACCCCTTAGCATTATGCAGTGCACAATCTGCCCACTTTACCATGGGCCTTGACAAGAGCAGTTTCCCGTTCATCTGGGGTCTTGTGAACCGGGAGATGATTTCTTCAGCGGTGTGGCACCAGTGCAATAGCACAATCTGCCTTTCTCCTCTCACTCTACGGGCACTGACCCTTTTATTTATAAACTGAGATGATTTAAAAATAGGAAGGCTCTGTCCTAGAATGGATTATGGGATCGGAGTTTTGTCAGGACTCCTAATTACCAAGCGTCCTCCTATTCCAGCATTCCTGCCCCTACAGCCACTGCAAGTGACCCGTATTATAGTAGGCAATAATAGAGATTTCTACATTTTTGTAACTGTCCCACTTGTTTCCGTAGCCAAACATTCTGAAGCTTCCAGAAGACCTTTGGCTGTGTTGACCTACATCCAACCCAATCCCACTTTCCCCCTTTGAATTGCTTCTGTTGGCTTCAATTTTAGCTTTCTTTTGTCAGTAGAACTCATCTCCTTTTTGTCTGAGGTGTCCCAGGGAGCATTCACCTGGGCCTGTGGGCTCATGCTTCTGCTCATAGGTAGAGGAATGCATCTCTCTTTAATAGAAGCTTCTTCTCAGCCTAACAAATCTCTGACATCCTGCTTCTCCTTGCACTTCCTAGGGTCTGTGTTTATGATTCTCAATGGAGAGTGAAAGCACAGATTCATAATGAAAACTAGCCCCCGTCGGCCACTGATTCTCAAAAGACGGAGGCTGCCCCTTCCTGTTCAAAATGCCCCAGGTGAAACATCAGAAGCTGAGCCTAAGAAGGCCCCTGCCCAACAAGAGCCTGGTCAAGCGCAGGCCTCCAAGGAGGTGGCAGAGTCCAACTCTTGCAAGTTTCCGGCTGGGATCAAGATTATTAACCACCCCACCATGCCCGACACCCAAGTGGTGGCCGTCCCCAACAATGCCAATATCCAGAGCATCATCACAGCATTGACGGCCAAAGGAAAAGAGAGTGGCAGCAGTGGGCCCAACAAATTCATCCTCATCAGCTGTGGGGGAGCCCCCACTCACCCCCCAGGACCCCAGCCTCAAGCCCAAACCAGCAATGATCCCAACAGGACAAAAGTGATCACCGACACCCTGGGACCAAAGCCTGCAGCTAGGGATGTGAATCTTCCTAGACCACCTGGAGCCCTTCCTGGACAGAGATGGGAGAGCTGTGGTATGTGGTCTGGCGGGCAAAGGGGTGAGGAACCCAGCCTTTCCTCTCCAGTGGCAAGGACTGCGGTCCGTCAGGTTGCTACTTACAACAGGCGTCTAGCCTGGACTAGGGAAAGGCTTGTCTTTCTTCATCCTGAAACCTTGACCCAGACCCTTTGGGCGCTGTCCAAAGGGTTGCAATTGTAATTTAGCATTTCTATTGCCTTCTTTATATTGGAAAAGGATTTGTTTATTGTTTCTATTTATCCTTCCCATTGACCAAATAAGGAAGTAGGAGTCTTTCTCCATCTTAATAAAGGAGAAAACTGAAGCATGAGGAGGAAAAGTGAATTTCCTTGTGCAGATAGTAACTCTTTTGTAAGGTAGCCTTTACTGATCTCTAGGGTTTAGTGTGGCTCAGATTGAAAGGCAACTGGAACTATGCTCCTGAATTTTTCCTGAATTCCATAATGGGGCAGAATACCCGAGGGCTGCAACAGATTCAGCATGTGTTCTTTGCCCCTAAGGGTAGAGGTATTGGAGAGGTGATCCCCAACCACCAATTTTGATGTGCCTGCCGGGCTTCGGATCAGGCAGCTAAGTGGCATCTTGGATTGTCTCCCCTCTAGCTGGCGGTGAGGCAGCAGGCTGCACTCTCGACAACAGCTTGACCAACATCCAGTGGCTTGGAAAGATGAGCTCTGATGGACTGGGCTCCTGCAGCATCAAGCAAGAGGTGGAGGAGAAGGAGAATCATCACCTGGAGCAGAGTCAGGTTAAGGTGAACTCTTCTGTCACTCACTAGGGAAGTCAGAGCCAGTGCTGGGCGTTTCTAAGAAGGGAAATGGATCAAGTGGCCTGCGGAGCAGAATACCAGGTTCTGGTATTAGCACTTCACTTTGTGTGATTCTGTGCAACTTTCGAGCTGGCTTCCTGCCTGGGATCTTTTCTCCCCCATCTGTGAAATTTCCTCGAGGGCAGACTCCTCTGGCTCTCTCTGTATTCCATCAGTACTGAGTTTAGTACATTGCCCTTTATAGGTACTTAGTAGGTATTCAGGAAACCGTGAAGAGGTCTTAGTTTGGAAAGCAACTTGACCTCTAAAGGGGTATCCCACAGTATGAAAGGAATACAGCATTTTTAACAGGATAGTTTTATTAGAAGATATTTGGGGCCGGCCCAGTGGCGTAGCGGTTGAGTTCGCGCGCTCCGCTTCAGCGGCCCGGGGTTCGCAGGTTCACATTCGGGGGGCGGACCTACGCACCGCTTATCAAGCCATGCTGTGGCAGGCGTCCCACATGTAAAGTAGAGGAAGATGGGCACAGATGTTAGCCCAGGGCCAATCTTCCTCAGCAAAAAGAAGAGGATTGGCAATGGATGTTAGCTCAGGACTAATCTTCCTCACGAAAAAAAAGAAGAAGATATATTAATAGCAAATAAAGTGAGTTAGATGTGAATTTTAAATACTTTCCCAGCAATCAAAATTGATTTGACCCAATTGTGTGGCCTGGGCTTATTTTTCACAGTTGCCTTGCACCTAGATTCTGTTGTATATACTTTTTAGTCATTCATTCAACAACCTTTAGGGGCCGGCCCAGTGGCACAAGAGGTTAAGTGCGCGCTCCGCTGTGGCGGCCTGGGGTTCGCCGGTTCGGATCCCGGGTGCGCACCGACGCACCGCTTGTTAAGCCATGCTGTGGCGGCGTCCCATATAAAGTAGAGGAAGATGGGCACGGATGTTAGCCCAGGGCCAGTCTTCCTCAGCGAAAAAAAAAAAAAGAGGAGGATTGGCATCGGATGTTAGCTCAAGGCTGGTCTTCCCCACAAAAAAAACAAAAAACAACCTTTAAAAGTGAAATTTTACATAGATGTGTACATAAGTAAAAATCAAGCTGTTCACTTAAAACTTGTGCACTTTATAAAGTTACAGCTCAATTTTTAAAAATGTGAATGATCAGATCTTTGCCTAAGACTTGGCCAAATGTGTGCTTTGCAGACATTTGTCTGTCCCATACTCTTGGGAATATTTCCCTCATACAAACATTGAAAGGGATTGGGTTTATGCACATCACATCAGGAGTAGGAGTCAGACTAAGACCTAGGTCTCTTGGCCCCCAGGTCTGAAAAATGGGTATGGTTTTAGTATAAAATCAATGTTTTAAGAATCGTAATATATACCCAAACTTTTCTGAGAAGTTTCAATTAACAAAGACTGAACTTCTGCTTATTACTGGACAAGATCTTCAAGAAAATGAACAATGACAGAGAAGTAGTTCTACATTGTCCAGGGACTGGACTAGATCATCTCTAAGATCCTTCCTAATCCTAAAA